CTCCAAACTTTTGCACATGTTGAAGACAAAGTAAAGAAATTCTCTTTTGTGGCCAAATATGAGAAAAACAAGTACAGTTACTGACATAGAAAACAGAGGCTTTTACAGGAAAAGCGTGTGTGATTCACCCACTGCGTTCAACTCTAATGAGTCAAAAAGTGTGACCTGCACTTAAACAAGAAGTCACAGCCAGAAGCTGTAAACTCATTTTCCCCATCTGAGCCAGCAACGTCGGCAGGACCTGGAAGATGTGCTCCGAGCATGCACGATAAATCTGACGTGAAATCATAATCATAAAAGCAATTAGCTGACCCTGCGCCACTCGTCCTTGGACATGACAGTGAGAATTCATACAGAGTCCTCTAAGGAGGCTAGCTGCCGGGTTGGGCGAGGAGGAGAAAAAGTGCAACACAGCAACAATAAAATGGAGGGCCCTTCCTGTATCATTAACCACCGAAACAAACAGCGCATGATGCACAATGAGTGGTGTGCTGAGAAACAGAAAATTGAGCTTTTATGCTTTTCAAAGAGAAAACTTCACCACGACCACTGAAACAATCTGTGGTGTGCAGATTTCTCATGTAAACCTATGGGCACAGGAATCTAAATACAACACCACAGGCCTACATCACTCTGCATTAGCTCACGCTGTGAAAAACAGCACTTGGATAACATTCAAAATAAGTTGACTTATTTCAAATTAAACATGAAAATATGAAGATAGATGCTGGCCACACACGCCTTTGTTCTGTGCGTCTGTGGAGTGTGTAGCATGTTTACAGTCAATTTGACAGGATACTGAATCTATTGACTGACATGCCAGGTGATCAGATTTATTCGACTTTTCTCTTTCAAAGAGCGCGTTAGAATCTGAGAAATCTCTCTTAGCACACCCTTGCATGCACACAGACACACACACACACACACACACACACAGTTTCTCCCCATCACTTCCCACCCAGTAATTACAGCGAGGCCGAACTAGTGGCTGCCACCTAGTGACCGTCTTCTCCAATAATCATGAAATATCTCTATGGCTCGCGCCCCCACTCGGACCATAACTCTCCTTTACTGCAGACAGCTCCAATAAAGGATTACAATTACAATTAAAGTAATGAGCAAAGAGGAAAAAAGGAAAATCTCAGAGAAGGTTCCCTTGACTAACTAAATGGTAGCCTAGTTTCTTGACAGAATGGAGTTACCATACCAGACTCATTACTGGCTCCCATTTCTTATTCTGCCCCAATAATTAATTTGGAGCATGTTGAAACCTGGAGTCCTCAAAAATTAAAATAATGGTCTTAAAAGTGATGAATGTGAAATGAATTGAAATATGAATTATCAAATAAGAGATTAACTTCTTGTTATTTTTGCTTTATGGTGCTGGAAATGTAAAAAGGTTCAAATCACTTCAAATGTATTGCAGTCTGTGACTTTCATGAAAACTGCACAAGTCATATAATCCAGTGAAGAACACGCACACACGGAGCCCAGATTGGTGTTAAAAAGGACATATCTTTCCACGAACACACGTCCCATGCAGAAAGTCATTAATGACAAAAACGTAACTGAGTCAAGACCCGAGAGTAACCTCTGACTTCCTGCTATCACCACTGTGTTACGTTTGTGTTACACCCACGCATAAGTGAAGGAAAAAAAATCGCTTTTTAGAGCTAACATATGAGGAACATCTGCCTGCCTGAGACTTGTGGGGCTCAGCAGAAGATCCGTCAGGGAGGGAGAGGTGAAATGAGGAGAAAGAGAGCCAGAGAAAGACAGAAGGGGACAGTAGCAGCGGTAGTGCCTGCATGTCGCTGGCTGGACCGATTACTGTCGGCACATCCTCTGCCAACCTGCCAGGTCTCCCACAACTCCTGCACTTAACACACTGTTCCTTGCCCCCCTCTATAGTACGGTGGCTATTGCAGAGCAGCTACGGAAATTTGGAGACTGCTGAGCCAAAACAGATCACTTCAAAGCGGCTTATTTAACGCTTGCTAAATTTTTCATCACAGTCGCTTAATATCCTGGGGAAGGGGAGCTTTTGAAGTTGCTGTGAGACCGGGGATGTTCTTCTTACAATTCTTTTCCCCCTCCCATTACCACCCTCCCTCTGATGTACTAAAACCCCCAAACCTAAACACATACACACACACTGTTAACACTATGTATGTTGCATCCTCACACACAAATACATGCTTTTTCACTTGGGGCCTGTGACGTCGCAGTGTGACCAAAAGGACAGACCTAATTCTACCAGAGATACCCCAAGGAATTAGAATCGTATTTGGCGAAAAAGTTTCTATTTGATTGGCAGCGGTTATACCTTTTTTTTCATGCTACTAATATGACTGTTTTTGTACTGACTCAGAACAAGAAATTTGAAGACTTTTAACTTGGCATTTTTCAATACTGTCTGACATTTTATAGACAAAACAATTCATAGATTAACAGTTTCTGAGAAAATTATTTAGTACTATATATTTATATATTATTCTAATTAATTGATATCTTTATTTATATATTTAGTAAAAGTAATATGGATATGATGGCCAAACAGACTTAATATAATAGAAATAAATTAGAAGATTTTAATTACTTTACTTTAACAACATCACAATATACTCCTACACTATTATGTCAATGTATTTTCTGGTTTCACATCTGACCCTGTTCTCTTCTCATGTGATCAAAGGGATTCGTACACATGTAATTACTGTTGTGATGTGTTTGGGGGAATTTGAAGGCAATGTGGGCAGAGTGATTGGAGGAGACGAGGGGGTGAGCGTCACTGCAGGGAGAGAGCACAAAGACTAGGGAGACACCGGCAAGAGTGGCTGGCAGGGGTGGGTAATGGCCATGGCAGCGATGAATGGAAGGTGGGAGGGGGTGGGGGTTAGAGACGGAGTCGAAGCAAGCCGGGGTGAGAGCGAGCAAAGAGCAGCGCCAGAGGCAACAGCAGCGGCTGGCAGCGACTGGTATACCAGTCAACTATGGAACACACACTTTCACTCACACACACACACACACACACACACACTCGCTCTCCAACTGCAGGTCCAGACCTGCCCCTCTGGTCTGGATGGTGGCAGAGGATGTGGCACTGGCCCCTGAGCTGGGCCCTCTTGCCACAAAGGAGAGCCCACGCCGTGCAGTGTGCCAGGGCCTGCTGATCTGGGCGAGGTGAGTCAGAACCTGTTAACATGACTGGTGTCCCCAGCCTGACACACTGGCTTGTCTGACATGCACATGTGCACATAAATGTTATACAAACGTGTGTGCGCTCTCTCTCTCTCTCCCCTACCAACCCTGCCAGCACTCCCTTTCCTCTCATCCAGATAAAATCCTTTCAGACACAAATTTCAATTATTCACCTCATCCAAATAATGCCATGTGACAAGAATTATCCCTACTGTAATAATCCACTTAACTGGGAAAGAGCAGCTCATCAAAAAGAGAAAGGAGAAAAGGGGTTGGAAGTGAGGGTGGTGGTGGTGGGGGAGACTTGTCAACCAGTCTCGAATCAGGACCCTCATAACAAGAATTTCTTCCCTTTTTGAGGAGGCAGTCTTGAAGCGCACTGGGATGATGAAATTGAAGTAAATTGAAAGAAAGCCTGGGAGAATGCTCCCACAATCAATAACCCCAGGATTAAATTAGCCTTGGCATGAAGGGATGATGGGGGGAGGATGAAGAGTGAATGGTGGTGAATGACATTGAGACATGTAGGCTGAACAATACAGCGCTCCCCTAAACTGGATGCTGTGTCCATACAAGGACAGGGAATGTACCTGTGATGTATTCCATCCCACTTCGCAGTGAGACAGTCCCGGCTATAATCATTGTCATCACTTGGGCCGAGCACGCCTTATGAACACTTTCCTTCACACATTATTGAAAAAGAACTTATGTTTATTGTCATTAAATGTTGCTGGCTTTGCGTGTATTCGCCACTTGGAACAACTTATGAGGGACTGCAGAGTGCATAGCAGGCTACCTGAAAAAGAAACTGGTTTTCAACATTTTTCAGAGCCATTTTTCCTCAGCTACTTTACTCTAGATATCCCGAAATAAAGGGGGAATCAAAAATATTTATATGTCATATTATGTCTATCACTGATTATGTAAAACTACTACAATAATGCAACAGTGAAGTATTACCAGTTGCTATGACATCAAAATATTCTTTTACAGTATATATAACTTTAAGAATGAATAAGGAAACTTTCTTTTGCTTTTTTTGGGCACAAGGATTATTGCAGGCATCTCATGTGACTAAAACACAGTCTATAACTGACAAAAGTTTGTTTATACAATATATTCTTTTTTCTATTGGTGACAACTGACTTTTTAAAAACTAATTCAAAGTCTTCCCGGAACAACTTGTGACCCCGACTGAAAAACAATGCACTAAACTAAGGACCACAAAGACACACGTGTTATGCTAAACATGATTAAAGCAACCATGAAACCATTGTGACTGCTAAAACAGACCTTTTTACTCCCCAAACATCACAGTACATCAGTGTGGTGCCTAAGTGACTGGCTGCTAATTGGACGCCTTTAACACTTGATCTCACTGGGGAATGTGTAATATCATCTGATTAGCCAGGGGAAAGGAGATTGTTGATGAAAAGATGAAAAACAAACTTCTTTAAGTCATCAGATCATGAAAAAACAGACTCAATGTTCCGCAACCACACAGCTGATTTCACGGCGTAGCGCACAATCACAGCAAAGACACGGACAAGTTAAATCAGCTGAAAGTGAAAAAAAAAGGACGCTCTGGGCCACTGATCTTACATGGTTGAGAATCGTGGCATTCAGAATGTATCAATATCTGAAAATGATTATGTAATAAAGATTGAATTTAAATTAGAATTTGATTTAACCTGCAATATCCATTTGATATGCACTTACATCAAATAGACATACTTGTATTCCTTTGTTATTCTAGTCCATATCAGTCAAGTCATTTGTATTAAATGCTCCATCCTTACCAGTTCTTCTCTGGGGGGAGCCACTGCATCATGTCCAGGTGGAAGGCCAGGCTGAGATAAACAAACACTTGTGTTAGAGTACCATCTAGTGGAGGGCAGAGGCTATGTGTGTTTAATACAGCAATGTTCACACAGCCCTTACAGTGAGCAAGTCAGTAGATCCTCCTATCTAAATACATTATTATGTATCAGTCTTACAGATTAATGTTAGTGAACTGAATTAAAGACTAATTTAATAGTTTAAAACATTAACATCTTTAACATCATATATCTGAAGCCTCAAACTCCTACCAACTAGTGTGGACAGGTAACATCTCCGTCATTTAACAATTCCTAGGTAATTTGCTGAATGCACCTAAAATACAAGTTAGTTATAGAAGTGGGAGAATAGAGTAGAATCACCCATTTGCATTGCATGTTGCCTTAATCTCTGGCTTCTTTATATTAATGACCAATAAAGAATGTTAGTTAAGTCTACCTTTGAACGATTCAGTTGTGAACTATGCACCTTTAATTAAATGAAGGGCCGTGGCAAACACGGGGTTGAGTGCTGAAATGAACAGCATCCAACAGTAAATGTGGCCATGGCGAGAAGTGTGAGGCAGAACTTTCTATAACATCTGTTTTCTCGGGAAGGATCCATGTTTGTAGCTGTTTTAGCTGCACCAACATCGTGTTAGCAAAGAGTCCAAACCAGCAGACAGTGACCTTTCCACATCCTCATTAACTGCACAGAACAACACAGACTAGGCTACATGGCCAGATGGAAGGACGTAGCTTAATTTAGTCAGGGTCAAGCAAGCCACGTAAGTTTGGGCAACGTGTGATAAAGCGACAGAACGTCAGCTTGGCCCTTCGTGTCCACTTTCAACACAAGAAAGTCTGGGAGGCAACTTTTCTAACGCTGCAGGAGCTAGCTTAAAAAAAAGCTACTTAGCAAGCATGCTAACCTTCGCTAGCTGAGCATTTCTAACAGTAGCACACTGAAATGGCTGCGTTCAAGGAGCGCGACGTCGAAACACGTTATAGGAGCTCGTTGTCGTATGTGGACATCAACTGGTAAATGTTTTAGTTGCATAAATGTAGACCTGTGTTGGTGGATCAGGTTGATCGGTGGATGCCATCTTCCTATCCCTGGTTTGCTCAGTGGCTGCTCGACTGAACCGCGCTCGATTACTTTTCCTGAAGGATGGTAACGGTCAGAATGGCCCTAGTAAACGTCCAGGAAATGGCGGCCTCAGTAACGGTCAAGAATGGCCCTAGTACACCGGTCTAAGTCCATCACAGAAAGTGAGAGTTTTGCTCATAAAGTACAGGAAACACAGCAGAGTTCACATGAAAGCTTAATTAGATTGTGTTTTCAACCAACACATGTAAGGACAGAATCAACCGAATTAAGTCTTAATCATAAGAACTTGATATAGTACAAATATTATTGGGCATTAGTAAGACTATATTTTTTTTATTTTAAACATGGCTTCTTAAAAAGCCTATTGTTTTACGTGATATTTTCCTTTACAAAGGTGTGATTAATAAAACAGTCGGCCATAGGGGCCCCTGACCATCTGGGGACCATAAAGCAGTTGTCCCCCTTGTCCGTCTCTTATTCCAGCCCCCACCTGAAGTCTGACTGCTCCAGGACTATCCATCAATCAAGGCCCATATGGCTGATAATATCCCTTCGTAAACTGTAATCATTTATTAATGGGACATTAACCGTGACTAAATTACACATTTAAAGAAAATGAGTTTGGTACTGATTGCAAAATGTCCTGTGGAAAGAAAATATTGTCTTCATATTTCCAAAAGGTTAACAGAGACATTTTAAGTTGAGGACAGTTTGGTGGGTTCAGCACATCTTAAAGGACTTCCGGCTTCAGATGGCTGGTGCTAGCAAAGAGTTATTTGGAAACAGAAAGCGTAGTATTTTTGTGTTTGCTGTAACTAGTGCTAGTGAGCGAAATGTAAATGACTATTTCAAGTATTTTCTCTAATATATGAAAAACTATATATCCCAGAGTCGGCCACAAAAGTTAGTTTTATAAAAGTCACCTGCAGCTTATAAAAGGAAGATATTGAAGGTGATCCCATTTATTTTGAGTGTTAGGGCATGAATAAATGAATGAATGTTAATTGAAAGACGTTGAAAAGCTGTGACAGGACAAACGCCATTGTGTTTATGCTGTAAACAGCTCCTAGTCAACTATTGGATGAATGTGAGATATCATGAAGAAAGTATGGCCTATAATCCTTGTGTGATTACTAGAAACTATGCTGCTATTATTACTATTTGTTATTCTCATTTTAAGGAAAGAAATAAATGTACAGATTTATTCAATGAGATAAATAATAATAATATGTTTTATAATAATAATATAAAATAAAAATAATTGGTTTTCACAGATGCATTAAAAAATATATATCAGACAATATATCGATAGCCAAAGAGTTGAAATACACAAACTTCAGTTTTCTTAAGCAGGTATAATGTTGAGTTGTACATCATTTTGACTGTTTGCAGAATAATGAGAGAGTGAAGCCAAACAAGAAGAAAACCGAGACATCTGAGTTAAACATTATAGTCTTTATATTTTCTCATTATAGTATTTATATTCTCTATAATATTTTCATAATACTTTTATTTTATTAATCTTTATTGTATTTTTACACTTCTGTACTTTTTGCACAACATTTCCCCTGTGCTGCTGTGTCTCCCACGGGGGATCAATAGAGGAACATCTTACCTTATCTTATCTTGATAATCAATAAAGACGGGCAACAGCGCTGGGATAAGGAGCGAAGGGGAAGACATTTACATTCAATTCAAAGTAGTAGTAGTTGTAAAGTTGCAGGAAGTATATATCAGATAGAAATGAAAACACTAGGTCTAACAGGAGGAGGATCCAAGAGCACTGGCAGAAGATATTTGGTCAGTTTCCTAAAGAGAGCAGGACAAACCGGACACTGTTGGGGTGAACCATCACCACAAGATGGCAGTGTTGCAACACTAAGGATGCCAGCTGCCGTTAAACCCTCAGTAGAAGAAGAAACCAACTCGGCGGTTCCGTGTTCGAACCTGCTGAATACGAACTGTAGGCGAGCAGCGGTGTTCACATCTGTCAGTGTTAGGACACAAAGACAGAACACATTGTCCACATAAAGCCTACAATGACAGATAGGAAACCGTGTAAGGTGTGCAATTTCACACGACAGAAGTCTTATGGGTTGGTTGTTCCGTCCTTAGACGAGCTGAAAGCAAAAGGTGAGTTGTCAAAGACTGGCTTTAACCCGTGTCACTGTAGTTAACATGTTAAAAACCAACACTGCGTAACGTTATATACAAGAAGACACATTTCTGAGTCAAGTCTGACATTAAAAGTGGAACCCAGCCTTGTGTAGTCTCTTATTTTAGTTACCTGTATTTATCGGTGTGTTTCGTTGTATTGCCGTGTGTTTATCTGAACGTTAAAGGGTGCTGTGTGATGAGAAAGTGAAACACAAATGTTATCACACACAAAATGATCTTCAGCAGTCTGGTCGGGCCCTAGTGTTGCCGCCATTTGGGATTTTTCTGCACAATTGAAGCTCACTTATCTGTCATGATCACGGTCGAGCTGTGTAGCAACAGTTTCAACGTGTTCAGACTTGCAGGGACCAAACATGAAAAGTCAAGAACTCCTGCCTGTGCTGCTCATTCCTGGGATGATAGTCAGCACTGCAGGCGTTGGCCGGGTCGTGGCACTCTTCAGGGTGTGTGGCCATTGGAGGAGTGCTCACAGCTGGTGTATTAGATGATATTGAAAGATTTAGTCTATCTGTAGGGGTCTACTGTTTGATCTTGACAACCAAAGGCATTAGGCATTACTGAATTCTGTTAGTTAATAGCAGCAGGGGGGGGGGGGTTAGTTTGTGGTTGGCAGTTACGGATCTGCTCACCAGGAGGCTTCACGTGTTGAACTCAAAAATCACGTTAAAAAAATGCACTGAAACCCAAACCCACCTGAGGCAAATCCACCTGAATTATGTATTTATCCAGAGAAAAAATACACCTAATTTTAAAAGGCAAGCCTAAAGGGTTGGGGTGGGGTGGCAGAGGGATTACGCAGCGCAACCATTCAGCTGCAGCATACTGTGGGACAAATATGAACAGCTGTGATGGAAGAGGAGGTGACAGCTTAAATGGACTGACTTGTTTGAATTACAGAAGTCATTGGTATGTGCTTGAATCAGCTAAAGATCAGGTGGTGTGTGAGTTTCTATTACACATATATATTTAGATTATTTAAATTCTTAAATGTTTTGCTATGAGGTATGGCTATATAGTAAAAATGCTTTTAGTATTAAAATTGTGTGTGGGACTGTATATTCACATATGATCTGTAAAGTCTTTAATTTCTCTGTTCTTCCCACAGGATGCGAGTTTCTCGGCTTCAGCCCCAGTGACCCGGTCACAGTGGTCCTAGAGGATGATGGGACCATAGTAGAGGATCAGGCCTACTTTTTGTGTTTACCCGTAAACACTAAGTTCATGCTGTTGCATGAAAAAGAGACATGGTCTCCACTTCGCAGGAGTAAGCAAGTTTATTTCTGCCTGACATTTGTCTACAGTCTAGCTGTTCAGTGGAGTGGACTGATTCTTATAATTTAAAATGAACGGGCGGTTGAACAATGTGAACAAAAATAAGTCATTCCGATTTTTTTTTGATATTGCACATGGCCACATTGCAATATCAATATTATTTCAACTATAGGTGTTACGTTAAAGCCTTGTGTTTTGATACTTCTTTACTTGTTTTATTGTAGTGGATGGTGGCACGGCCTGGATGGCCAGAGATTCTATGTTGCTGGAGAGTGATGCTGTGGACGCCTCCACTGCTGAAGCACCCTGGTTCGACCTTGCTCAACAGCTGAAGCAGGACCTTGCCAGCATCATCCTCATGTCAGAGGCAGACTTACAGGTAGCAACATTGTTCCTTTATTCCACCAGCAGTTTTTGCTGTCATGCCTATCCCAGCATACACTGGTGAGAAAACAAGGCTGGTCATATTCTGTAGTTTTCTTATTTTTAACAAATCTCATGGAAACACACAAACTAATTATAACTTGATTCCTCTGACAATATTGTCTTATTCCTTTTTGCCATATACCTCCATTGTTGTCCTAAAATGATGAAAAACACATCAGTGAGTCACACTGTCGCACTGGGTGACATAGTCCCCCACTAAGATAAACATGGCAACTGTTGGTTATTATTGTCAAACTCGCATACACTGTCTGCAACTAATAATAGTCCCCAATAACTAGTTACTCCTGTTTGAGAAATGCAGAAGTGCCCAGCTGTTAGATAAACTGAAAAATGAAACTGTAGCTTTGTTACACATTTGAATATTTATGTCATCAGTAGGAACCTGGTCTGAGTGTCACAGACAACAGACAGGGTATGGAAATCTGAAAGTATTGACAGTCAGACTAACATTGGTGTTGGCCATATCATTTGCTGACCATAAGATTAAACATATTGTAACACCACCTTATCATTTAAAGCTAAAATATGGAACTTTTACCTTGTGGCAGAAAGCTCTGCTATACTTTTAGCTTTATTGTTCATTCCTTCCTTTTGTTAGATTATTTGTTGTTGCTGTGACTTCGAAGCACTATATAAGCCTACAGTAGTGGTCTCAAACGTGTAGTATATTATTGCTTAAAGTATCATTTGTGTCCCCTGCTGCTCCAGATGTTAGTGGATGCCCCGCGGCCTGAGCTAGCCCTTGCTCTGGGCTTCCAAGAGAAGAAGGCAGAGGATCTCCAGGAGACGCTGCAGAGGGTTTTGGACCGACGAGAGGAGGAGAGACAGTCCAAGGAGTTGCTCCAGCTCTACCTCAAAGCTGCGGACAAAGAAGACAGACAGCAGGAAGAGCCAAGCCAGGGAGGTACGGCTGTGTCATTATATGGTGGCTTTCATTTTTACAATTTGGTTAAACGGTTGGTAAAATGGTTATCCTAAATAAAGATCTAAGATATTTCATTCTTGGCTTACCCTCTCATAGTTTGGTTTCATAGTTTATATTGTGGCTTTCTGACACAATGTGAACTATGTGATAAGTTGCTACTTTTGGTTAGAAAGTCATTTTTGTCTGTGTATTTCAGCTGGGTTAAAGCATCTCTACAGAAACCGTAGAGTATTTTGCAGTAATACTAGCTCTTAAAGAAAATAAGCTGTAATTTTAGAGATATGGTCGCCTTTGGATCATTGCCTCTCCAAATCTATTACAGCGTCTTTTAAGGGAGCCAATAGTCTGTTGGATAGAAAGTCTCAAGCAGCCCTCAAGAGCCTGTTGATAACATAAAAATGCCTGTTATTTCTGATCATCTCTTTTCTTTTATTTGTTTTTAAGCTTTATTGTAATGCTTATGTGTTTTAGACTTAAAGTAGTTTATAATAATAATGTAAAATGTATTCTTATGTAGAATGTTTGCTGTAAACAAAATATGAGTCTATGAGTCTTTAATTGCCAGAGGTGCTCATATATATTCCTCTATCCTGAAACAATCCAAATGAAAAGTTGTGATCAATAAGCATACAACATCTAGGAAAATAATTAACATTATCCTTTGATAGTGTATCCCTGCAGGAAGGTAATAACCCAAAAACAGTTTGTTCTGTGGACACTTACTGATAAGAAGAGAGCTGTGCTTGTGCCTTTTGGTCACTAGGTGGAAGCATTGTTGCTGCTGAATAATCCCACCTCTTGTAGTGATTTATTATAACTATGCCCTTACGCAACAAACGACCCTGTAACAGAACCCATTTTAATGTGTCAGGGGCTGGAGACGTGGATGTGCCAGACGGGATGGAGGTGGACTCTGCATCTGGGTTCATGTCCAGGACACTGATGGTCCTGAAAGGCAAAACAAGCCCAGAGACCAGACTGTCCACTGAAGATCTGCAGGTAGTGCACTCACAATACTGATCCAGCCTTTCTTAAAACATCTGCAGATGAAAATACCCAAAATATGACCTTTATACATGTATACATACTGTATATAATCAGTTCTCTTAGAACCTCCTAAAAAAAGGAAACAGTAGATTCAGACAGACCTGAGCAACTGAGGTGCACTGACATGTCACAACATGTGGGGCCAGTATTTAACTGTCCTATACTTCATCATAGTCTTACACAGTTCTTTCTGACACAAGGCTTTTGCTGTAAGATACCCTATCAAGTCTAACAAGCAGCTGTAAAATTTATGATGCAGTTACGTAAAATTGCAAGTCCTGACACACGACTTCCATACTTTATTAGTGTCACTGTTCTGTTATATAATTCAGAGGCTATTTACTTTAGCTAGAATACAACTCTCATTTGCATAAACAAGGAGAGCAAAATATTGGAAACGCATTTCAATATAACTCAGTCCAGTTCACCAAGAGCACTAACTACAGCCTGAAGTCAACTCTTCCTCGACACAGTGGCAAGCTTCACAAATTGTAAAGTGTATTACGGGGCTGTCTGATTGGATTAGTTTGTACAAAAGTCTCCCATCTTCACATTTTCAGTGTTTGAAACGAAGCCTCTCCCATGCTGTTTTTTAGATGGTAGTGAGCAGAGGGGTGGAAGCTATGGAGCAGGTGCTGGGCTGGGACAGAACAAAGACGTCCGCACTGCTCCAGGCCTGCAAAGCCGAGCTGACCAAACGTCTCGAGCAGATTCAGGCCGTGCAGTCCATCAGGAGCAACACACTGGTGGACAGCAGCCAGCAGTCCAGTGAGAAGAGTGCGGAGCAGGGCGTAAAAACAGCAGCCCAAGGCAGCAACTAGACCGAGGCTTCACCTGAGCAGAGACTGATAAGAACTTACACTACCTGCCTCAGGGTCAGTGGAATGGGATTTATCCTGTGGTACTGATAATATCCATAATGTGGGAATTCATGAATGTTAATGATGTTGACGTTTGCATCACTTTGTCAAACTTGCTAACCACTTGAATGCTTCTGCACCGAGAGGAAGTCATTTGCACAAGTCATGTTTATCAAAGACAGGTTTGCATTAACCACTTGCATCAAATTTCTATTGGCTCCTTATTTTGATGAGTGCCATGCTGTGAAAATAATCACAGAAAAAAATATTCATGGGAAACTCAAAGCAATAGAGCCAGCTAGCTTAGCATAGCATAAATACAGGAAATTGTGGGAAACAGCTAACTCTGTCCGAAGGTAACACATTCTGCCCATCAGCACCTTGTAAGCTCACTTAACACCTTATATCTTGCTGTATTCTCCATTGGTTGCCTGGTAACCTCACTGTGATGACAAGAGTCTAGGAAGTGCTTGACCAAGAAATAGTCCTACACAAACCCCCCTCCAGTTAAACATAAAAGATATAGCATATTAACTAATGAGCTATAGGGGTGCTAGTAGGTGGATTCTGTGATCTTCAGACAAAGCCAGGCTTGCTGTTTCCAGTCTTTATGCTAAGCTATGCTGCTGGCTCCAGCTTGATATTTTAGTGCACAGATACGAGAGTGGAATCAATCTTCTCATTTAACTGTTATGTGTAATTATTGCTTATGGTTAAACTGTTACTGTTGAATCAGCTTCCCAGTATTGTTTGCATTCTTCTATCCATTTAAACACTGCCATGTAAGACAGAAGCTGTGCGCTCCATTCTATGTTATGTTATGATAAATAAGAAAATATATAGTTTGAACTAGCAACGGAAACCCTGTGGATCTCCAGCATATGGTGAGTGACAAAATATATGATTTTTTGTCTGTTTTACATTTTATATGTGCTATCACTGAAATTATATTTACATCCTAAATATAGGGGCTCTTTGCTCTTTTTGGAAGTTTAGAGTAGCAGTGTGTTCTTATCAGGTTGATCCTGCCCCTCATAACTTGTTGCTGCTTGTTCTCTTCCTCAGTGACTACTACAGAAAGTGTTCAAATATGATGTTCCCACTACAGTGCCATAGTTTTATAGTCCAACAGTAGACTCTTAATGTGAAGCAATTTATAAGTTGTGATGAAAACACCGAAATATAATAACAGGTTTCCCTATAATGAACATAAACATTTTTATAAATATACGCTTGCCTACATATGGCTTTTTTCTTTCCGTTTTTTTACCACAGTCTTCATGTATGTGCACCTTGGTGTGAAATGTCACCATTAACTGGTGTGTCACCATTTGGGGAATCTCTACATTGAAGGTGGAAGTACCATAGTATAAGGAACGCAGAAACTATCTTAACGCGTAACTTGTAGTGCACCAAATCACAGAGAAATGTTCTTTCTGAGATATATGCAAATGCTGACATGGACCAAATAGATTTGTGTAAAAGATGCGATTGCATGAGTAAATACATCTTTTTGAATGGGATACACAGATCATTATTCTAAAAATGAAAAGTCTGACCATTTAAGATGTACATCACTTCATACATGCAAGCCTCATTGAGCACATTGTGGATGACCTTATGGGTAAGAATGACATCGCTTCATCCTTGAGTTACGTAGAACCAATATTTCTGGATGAGAGCTCATTTAAGAAAATCTATTTTATACTATTATTATAGTTATGTATCAGTCTGGTGACTGTGTGATGTAAGACAGTGTGTACAATGTATGCAGGTCTCTGTGACTCATAGGTCATGTGGAAGATAGCCTTTGTCATGCCTGTCATCTCATCCTCGGTCTCTTGAACAAGTGACAAATGATGGTTGATTTGAATTTGCAGAAGGTTCATCTTTTTGTGTTGTGGTGAGATTGAGTTGTCACTACTGGCTTGTACTTTTAGTATTAGATACAGGGAAAGTGGGGCAAGATCTATTTACTCAGTGTTTTGTGTATGTTCTGAAATGAGGTTGACTCTCAGCACATTGCGAGGTTTCACCAAAAGTAACCTCTCACTATTCTTCTTTTAAACCCCTGTAAGAATTATCTTGTGAGTTCCCTAACACATTTGCATTTTGTATTTAATTTAATCGTGTACCTCAAATGTTACAAAAGGAAGTTGTATGTGACTGTAAAGTATGTGATTTAAGGTGCCTTTTATAAACACGTTGGTACGAGGAATTTTCTAAAATAAACCAGCCCTCAAACTTTTGACAGAGCTGTTGCGGCACCTTTTTTATTGCTGTATATTATATGCATGTAAAATTATGCACTGACAAATATCACATTCTGTATTATTGAGACTCCACTTCCTCTTAAGACTTAATCAAAAGCCAAGCATTGTGTAGTGAGACAGAACTTTAGTTTTGGTTGTGAAAATAAAATGTAAATACCCTAAAGTACTGATTAACAAGTGCTTTTCCATAGTCAGAAATAACAGACAAATATTTTTAACACAGTGAGCCTCCTTTTATATCTATCTCTTCACATACAGCAGGTTCAAGCTAGAGATGCAAGGTTGTCAACAAAATAGTGATGGGCATATTAGCTGTAAGCCTATTGGCTTCATGCTGCCGCCAGATATTTTCCAACTGTTGGTTAATGGGTTTCATAGTGTGCGTAATTCCTGTGGAATTGGCTCCAACTAGGCTGAACAGTTAGAAGTGAGTGGGCAACGGGAGCAGTCGATTGTGCTTTCATGTGTCACACTGTCTTGGTGGATTAGATTATGAGTTAACAGTGCTCAGGCAACAACTGCAGGTTTGCTCTATAAGCACTCAGTTGCCCTGAGGACTGTCTGGGCTTTTCATGGTGGAAACAAATCTTATCCCATATGGTCAGATGACTTTCAGAGAACACATATCCACCCAAGACCTTACGATGCTGTTGGTTTGCAAATGCCGAGGTGATGTATGGGTCAGTACGTACGTTGCCTTGGTAAGTTGTGGTGGCCTTCAAAGTACAACATATGTAGTACAGTTCAGTCAAAGTTAATGAGGTTTTAAAAAAGTCACAAGTTCATAGAAAAGTGGCGTTTGCTTAATTGTAAGAGACAAGAAAAAAAACTGAAACAGTACAAGTAAATCAACACAAGTGCTTTTCTTTCTCACATCCACACAGACAGGCGTGCTCTTTTGCCCCACTTGTGGGGCACAGATGGAGAAAACGTTAGGTAGTGAATGCAAAAGTGTCAAATGAGAGGCAATTTCATGGGACTGAAGAACCCTATAATGACTGTTTTGATAGAGGAGTAGAGCTAGGATTGCTGAGAACAAGCTGCATAATGTATGAAGGTTAAACGTCTAGCATTCACTGCTTCTTAGACCAGACTGACTGACTGGAATACTACACAGAATTAATTTATTATTTCTGCCTGAGCATTAAAATGTGTTTCTGTCTTTAGCTAGAAAAGAGCAGATTGGTTTTCATTCAGCTACAGTAGTTTGAGGAATACTTTATTTTCTTTGATTAAAATGCTTTTCACATATGGCTAGTTGCATTTTATGGTAACATTTACAGTATTTTAATTAACTTTTTTTTCTAAACTAGTAAGTCAAACTGTCTTTTGAGTCATTTGCACAATTAACAAAACAATAAAACAAAATACAAAAGTGATTAAAAGAGGATTGTGCTGGTGAGATTATAGCAGTATCTAGAAATTGACAGACAATGAAGGATTAGAAATTTGTCGTGATCAAACAATATCTAAGCTTAATCACAAAAATGATCGTTGTGTTAAGTTGCCACTTAAAAGGTACTGTGTAAACTACACATACAATGTTAATGTCAACAAGCTATTAGTCTTTAGTTAGAATGAGGGATTCAGCCTTGTTACTGATGTACTTGATCTTCCATCCTTTGTTTTTCCCACTAGCGTCAGATCTGAAGGCAAGATGGACTTGGTAACTTCCTGTGTCAATGCGACCTGGTGGCACTGGTCCACAGAAGGGTCCATACTCTTGTCCAGCTGTTGAAATCTTGTAAAAGAGGGACATCAATTAAAAAAACAGAGAAGTTGATTTATTAAATGCCTGAATGATTTATGTACGGCCAAACTTAAATATGCAGGAAACAGCATGTCCATACAGTATATCACCAAAGGACGACAAGTCCATAATAAACTGCCTCCACAAGCATGAGGACGAATACATTGCTTATTCATCTCCCTGTGTGTTACGTTCTGAAGTCACATGACTAACCTTCAACATATCGTACGGACAGGGGACGTCTGGATGTCCCTCTATGTCAAAGGGTTCCAGGAAGTCCAGGATTATTCTGTAGCCCTCTGGCAGACGGATGGTGTGGTCACACTGAGTCATGGGTGGGTAGGGACTCGGGTAGCCCGGACTGGTCAGAAACCCAGACAGCGAGGTCAACACCTGGCTGCTGCATGGCACTGTAGGGAATATTCACACTCATTTAGATCCCACTTAAACACAGCAGGCTTGTTTTAGATATTTTGTCCACTCCTTAGTGTTCAAAACGCTTGTATATTAGTTTGAATACTGATGAACAAGTCCAATGTTCTATCTGTAGGCCTGCTTTATGAATCATAAAGCACTGACTATAAAAAAGTTTTTTGATGAGAAGAAAAATAATGTTTTCACATCAATTGAGACATTTTCTGGCACCATAAATGATGGGATTAATTTAGGTTTGCGTTATTGCCCCGGCAAGTGTTCAGATGTTGTTACGGAGAAAAACAAATGAGTATCGCAAAGAGGCTGAGTTGCTGTAATTCATATAATTAGTGCAATCTGTAGGCAGATAATCATTTTTGCCTATTCATTGCATGATTTGTTTTGTCACCCTTTTTCCGCTGGCAAAGAAAAATAATTTAAGGCACATCAACTGGTAATTGTGATTAATTACCTCATGCCAGTACACTATTAGTGCTGCACACAGGTATCAATTTTTAATGCCATTTTGAAGTTGCTTTTCCCTAAGGAATCGACAGTAATTAACCTAGCCTTACACCAGCTGGCAGAGATCAACTACTTTATGCATCAGTATGCACAGGCCAGCTATGATGTCTAGAACAATATCAACCGTGTGCCCTGTGTGAAATGTCAGAAAATAGTTTTCTGATGATTTGTTCTGCACTACTGTGAAATATGGAGAACAGTTTGAAACACAGGTGGCCCTTTCTTCCTATACGTATGTGTAGTCGCACTTTTACAGCCCAGCAATTTTATCTCATTTTCATCGAGCAAAGTCTGAAATTAACAGCATTTCTGATTTTCAATTGTCCAATATCATATGGACAAATTGTGCCAACTGAAAGGTTTGTCCGTTATTGGATTATATCATGAACAAATGCTGTGGAATTCAAACGTGTTAAAGCCAACTGCATTAAACAGAAGTCAATGGGCACTAATGGAAATTACTTTGCTTTATTGCCATCGATATCTGCTGTGTCTGGTAGTGGGGAGCTGAGCAGCAGCGTATTTAGCTTGAGAAACACCATATACCGTATTTACGCAGATCAATATACAGTCAAACGCTGTGTGCCAAGCTCTTAGCACTGCACCTCACTACACAGCTTTTGACTCACTTTGACAGAGCTCAGATGAACATGCCTCTTGAGCTTTAGTCTGCGTGGCTCTTACTTGTGCAGGATCTTTTGTTGTCATGGAGAAGGTATCCTTGTCTGCACGTGCAGTAATATCCACCGATGTAATTGTGGCAAAAATGATCACACACTCTCTCCCCATCTATCTTGGATAGGCACTCGTTGATGTCTGTTGGAGAGTGTTAGAGAGAAAAACACTGAAATACAACACAGTAAGTGTGTATTTTTCTGTACATCATCACAACATTCTTTAAATGGGGAAAGCGTCTTATATGAATGTCTTGTAAATCCTCAATGTGCCTCAAGTCAAATCAAATAATGTATGATATTTTTTTTCACTTTGTATCTTTCTTGGGTGTGTATATCACCACTGCTTTTACAAGTTAAGCAGACACTAAATTAGTCTCGTTTGTCTTAACTCTAGATCACACAATAATGAAAAAACAAAATGATGACAAGTCGTTGCCAGCTTAAATAAAGCTGGCTCCAAGCTGTGATCGTTACATCCAATTAAAACAGGAATTTAAATTGGAAAAGTATTAATTGCATGAAAACAGAAATTGCAGACAGTCTTTTTTTTTAAATTTAGGAGTCATTAAAAGAAATAAAAACTTGAATTATAATAAATTTAGGAGTCATCAACAGTTCCCAGAATCTGGGAGATAAAAGAAAGGGTCTGACTGTGATGAGTCACACATTTTGTCCGAATGTAAGGACACAAGGGCAGTGAGACATAGGAACTACCAATTACACTTCAAATCTAAGTTTAAATAACTTATATAAGCTGACACTTATATGTAAATTAAGAGCCTTCTAGTAACGTTACACTTCATTCCAATGTGTGCCTTTATTATGTCACTGTATTTATGTAGTTTAGAGTATTTCTGGGTATACCTGCAATCATATAATCCTGCTATTATTTCTCTAGCAATTCCATTACACATTGCTTGGTGTAATTACGCTGCCAAAAATATATCTGCCTTCTGGCAACAAATGTCACTATTTTGTATCACCTTCTGAGGTGTAAAATGCTTGGAAGCCTGTGAATCGGCCCTCGTTAGAGTAGTCACTCCTAAAGACCACTGACATGAGGTTCCCGGCTGACAGGATGACGGTGTTCCTCGGGGTGCTTTCATAGTTCTTCTCTTCCTCACCGCAGAACCGCAAGGTCTCATTCCCCTCTGCCAAAACCTGGTGTGACAAGGTCAGAGGACTTTGAGTGAGCAAGCTACAAACTCCAGTGCAGATAATGGGAGTTGGAGTTTCTCCAGCCTGTACCTGAATGTAGTCATATTCACACTGGTTTGAGGGTTCCATGCTGAAGTGGCTGAAGTAGAGTTTGACCCTGTGGCCGTCTGGGACTGTGATGTTCCACACTATGTGCTGGTTATCAGGGTATGGCTGAGGGAAGTTGGGGGAGGTGAAGCTGCCATATAACCCTGTCATTTCCACACTCAGCGAGACATGGAGGAGGGAAAATAAGACAAATACAGAGCACCCACTGGGCAAAATTAGGTGTGATGACAGTAGTTCCAAGGATTATTTTGCACAAATAAATGCTAACTGACACTCACCCGGTCATGTTGGTTTAACAGTCCCCAGATATTTTGCCTGTTTTGGAACAGTGATCTGAGGGTAAATGAACCCGACTGGCTGACATTTAGGTAAACAAAGTGACACAGCCACATGATCAGTTTGTCATCGTTCCCCACCTCCCTCGGTCACAGAAATCTATCAAAGTCATAAATGTCAGAATAATTCATATTCATTCTGTCAAATTAATTTTCTTTTTGCTTTATTATCATCATCTTTTACCAGTGGTAATTGATAGTTTACATGAAGATGACACTAACTACTATTTCTTTTAAATCAATTGCATTCACTAAACACAGGAAGGAAGACATGTGGTTGTCCACATCATCAAACTAGATTTGAAAAAAAGAAAACTGTTTTCTGAGGTTTTTGTCACATTTGATTGGTAAAATATTTTAATTTTATTTCAAAAAAATAATCTAAACATAAATATATTTATAAAAATGTAATCATCACCTGTATCGCACTGTAAAACTTGTTTTGACAGTGATGCTGATCACACCAGGCCTGCTACATTATTTCAGATCCTGCTGTCATGATTTCTGAGCAGCAAAGCTGTTAAAAGCCTAAAAAAAATAAACATACCCGCAAAATTTACGAGCCAGGGCCTTTTGTTTGCACCTTAACAAAAGGGACCAGGGTAGAGGTTATCCACCAATTATGGTTTGATCCCTGGCCCCTCCTGTCCACGTGTTGAAGTATCCTTGGGCAAGACACTTAACCCCAAATTGCATGGCAGCTCTGTTGCCATCGCTGTGTGTGTGACTGAGAGACAAATTGTCAACCGCTTTGTAAGGTAGAAAAACGCTATGTAAGTGCAGTCAATTTACCATAATTACTGTATCAGGGACAAAAACAGTCAGTGATATGTCAACAGTTTCCTGGTGAATGAAACCAGATTGCATCATGCTGTTTTGGTTGTTTTTTTTTACACATCTGCACTGTGCCAAATGCTTTAGGGTCAAACTTGATTACAAATGCTTTTGTAATGAGGGAATTGCAGAGTAGTCATGCTTTCTGTTTTGATGGAACATAGATATTGAAGTTATTCATACATGATGGGGCCTTTTCAACCAGCAACAGTATGATAAGTAAGCTTGTAATAACCAACCCCTATTTTCCCTAACACTAAAGCACTAATGGCTAGTATTTGATGTGAATTACAATAATTATCGACATAAACATCAATGTTAATTTCCCTTTTAAACGACCTCTCTGATGGTACTCTTTTTAAATGGTGCCATAACCTTGTCCTTTTCGTCTGATTGTGAGCTGGTGGGATGTTGAGCCACAGTACTGATGGCAGATGTTCTCCTCTTGGATATCGTCCAGGTGCCACTCAGGGCTTTGATGTGCCACTATGATGCATCAACAGAAATGACACCCCCCGACACTAAACAAAAGCCTCCTTGGAAAATGTAACTTCATCATTAAAAAAAACTACTAATAATGACTGTGGTTCTCTGTGAGTCATTCAGACTGAAGGGTCTCATTTCCGATGCCTCTGGGAGTGTAAATTAATTTCAAGCTTCTGGGCCTTTATTTCCAGAGCACTCAGTGGGATCTTCCAGGTGAAAATAGTGAAAGATTTTCCGTCTAGGTTTAACCTTTAAGGAGCTGAATCACCCCTTATAACACTACAAACTTTCTGACAGACTTCTTCTTGGCCTCAAGTGCATTTTGCTCATTTGATTTAAAGATATCTCCCCCAGTTTTACTCTTTGGCACAGACTTCTTTAAACTCTTGCATGAAAGAATATGTGCTGTTTTACAAAGGGAATGACAGACTGTTCTAAACTTTTGGCCATGTCCTTCATGACACTGTACCTGCAGACTTGAAAATTGTAAGGGGTCAGTGCCCTTTGGGTTGAAACCTGCTCCTTACATATTTTACCTACTAATTTATGCAAGGACATTATTCGGTTAAGAACATAACTGCCTCCAGGGGCCGCTAGTGGATTTTTTAGACTTTGAGGTGTTTTCTTTTGTTTTAAGGGGAAATGTAATACCCCTTACGTACAAAACAATGCTTGCAAGTTGTATTTTATTGGGTACATTTTAAATAACACTAACATAAAATATTATTTGTTATTTAAATATTGTTTAAGTACACAACAAAATAAATCCCCACCCAGCCCACAACCACCCTCCCTGACATCCTCTAATGGTTACAAAAAAAGAGTAAGTTAAACATACAGACAAACATTATACAGCACACCACTGCAGGGTTGCTTTTATTTTAACCAACTTTAAATGAAACAGTACATCTTTCATCTGACACGACAAGGAAGTCTAGACTCTTTTGAAGTGCTGTGAACGTAATCACATTAAAAAGTTATTTTTAGTACAGTTAAACTACAAAACACTTTAAATTCACTGTCCTTGCTGTTAAGTTCAAATAAGTTCAAGGGAATGGGAGACTAGAGTTGTATGTGATAATACAAACTGTATTGATAATGATTCAAGTATTTAGTATTTATTCACATAATTACATACAACTACATACAACTGAGCCCTCTCTGATGTGTCACAAAAGACATGAATGTGTCTGTTGTTGTCCATGTTTGGGCTCACATAGTATTGTGTCAGTGATATTTTCTAGAGGTCAGGTAACTCTGATTTTTAGGTCCAAGCTCTTCAGGGAGCCTTGAAGCATCGCAATCTCTTTTCCTGTCCCACAGAAGTTCTGACTGGCTAGTCATAATCCTCTTTTGTAGCTTCACTACATATGCATTGCAAACCCTCCCAGACCTCACAATTAATGACTGCCTGGGTGCTAGAACTGGAGCCTCGATGTGACTCAGTGGTACCTCATTAAGTTTCGAGTGTTCATTCATGGCTGGCTGCTGCACACACTGCTTACAAGGGAGGACTAATGACGCAGCTTGCACCTTGATTCTAGGTCTGTCGTCTTTTTCTTCCCCCATCCTAACCCTCTGTAGTGTGCAGTTTTGGGACTGGAACCTGTGTTGGGTTTGACCTCAGCTCTGTCAGTGCTGAAACCATCTGCTGCTCATTAGCCTTACTTACCATGATTTGCTCTATTTTATTTGTTCCCTTTGTCTGAATGCCTTAAGGACTGTAGGGAACTGATCTGCTGTACGACACAGTTCCATAATCTCGCTTTTCATCTCATTATTTCTCCTTTATAAGTTGAATAGTGACTGGTATGTGCACTGAAGGGTTCTTATCATCTGATTTACTATAGCTTCACGATGCGGAGTGTATGATCATTGCCCCTCACTAAGTATATAGTCTTCTAAATAACTAGGTCTATGGTTAATGCGTCTTTGATGAACTGTAGGTTCCTCTGCAGGCTCATGCTGATTCCTAGAAAGCATCTTCACTGTGGCGGTCTCCAATATCGGGCCTGAAGGTTCAGTTAAAAGAAAGTCTTAGGAGCTGACTCCCTATAACCTTTCAATTTTTTAGTTATTACAGAGTTATAGTTATTGTTATAGCCATGTTGTTTTCCAGGATATTAACTGAATACTGGTGCCACACCAATAAACACACTCCACTTGTCCACCAGTGTATGGTTCTATATAAAAGAACAGATAAGCAGAGCTATAAAGCATATTCAGGCTAAAGTAAATAAACCCTAATAATAATCAAATCTCCATATTTACACAATGGCTATAGATAAACATACTCAGTAGAAAATGTGTTGACAACTTAAAAATTTCACTTCAAAATATATGACAGCTTCTATCACGTTTGCAGCAGTTAATATAGGAAATAAAAACTATGAAATAAAACATTTAATAAATCCAGCATTTGTTATTGTTCTAATTTAAACTACCCTAATAAAGTGGGAAGGACTGCATACTGAATATTGTTAGTCTTCCAAAAACAGATAATATAACATACCATTAATAATAAAAAGGTTTGCCGCTGATAAATAGCCTTCTATAAAAGCATGCAAAAGATTTGATGTCATAACCTGAATCCTTATTTAGAGGTATGATGGATCATAAGTGGGCCATAAATCCTATTTTCTAATCACAACATTATTTATTTTAGACAATTTGGTGATCACTATTACCCAAAAAATAGTTTGTCACAGAAAAACTGTTAATGAAAAATGCATTGAAAGAACTCACAGTAAATGTTTTAAAGTAGAATTTCTGAAAACAGTGTTATAGGTTTGCCTTTACCGACGGTAACTCTGCTTTCTAAATGTCACTGCAGTGATTGGCACTGAAACGCCATAGCTAGTAATTAGAAATTGTAAGACAGCCGATCCTTCATAATGTACTGCTTCTTTGCTTTATTGACTGGATACAAAACATTTGTTTGGTTGCTAAAGGACTGTTACTGCACTCCCTGCTCTAAAATAGAAAAACCATATCCTCCTAAAATGCCTACAGCTACTCACAACAGCACCTTTTTTATTGCATGCTCTTTGTCGCCGCTCAGTTTTCTAACCTTTTCACACCCTAAGGTCATATCTTTCACACCATTAGGTCATTACCTTAAGGCGCAAAAAACCTTTCCTTTGATTGCTGCTTGCTGTTGACTGGAGGCAGTATTCATATAGTATCAGATTTGTGTCAATATGATCAAACAAAGCTTCTTAAATGTCAAACAAAAATAAGAATTTGACAGAGAATAAAACTCACTGTAGCAAAAAAAAGATGCCATCTCAACAGTAAAACCTATAACTTGCGGACAAATTATTTGTGTAATCGTGAAACTATTGGTCTTTTACTTTTATAATATGTCTTTTTGTTTGCAGCTCCTGCAGCTTCTTTCTCACGGATCAGACTTTTGCCCTTATTGTCGGCTCTGTGGTACTACACAACAGCTCTCTCAATAATTTACACAATTACACAAATAATTTGTTTGCGAGCTATGTTTTACTTTTGAAATGACTTTGCTTCAGTAAGTTTTATTCTCTCTCAAATTCTTATTTTCCTTTGATATTCAATAGGTTTTGTTTGATTATACTGACACATACTTCGATATACTTCCATTATACAGATGAAACAACAGGGACAAAAGCATAATTAACACAAAAAGCACAATTAGGTCTAAATGCTGAGTAGCAGTGAAATGTTTGAGGTGCTTGAAGCAAAACTACAAGCAAGGAATAAAACTACACACTATATCTAAGTAAAATAAAAGGAATCAAATATAAGAATAGAATAATAATATTCCTGTAATATTGTGCAGTTCAGTTCTACCTTCTGAATTTGAACAAGCCTCTCTTTAGGCCGAACAGCAGAGAGAAGTGATGATGTCATCTGTAGACAAAACCTAGAGCTGCTCTTTAGACTGTGAATAATGGAACATTGACAGCATGGTGATTTAAATGGGATGTGAAGACGTTTTCTGATTTGCAGCTGAAAGGCCTTCATTCAAATAAAACTAACAGACCTGTTCACTGTGAAAAAACGGACTACAAAAATCATCACCTGATAATCAAGTAAGAGGGTGTTTTGTAGATATCTGCTTTTCTATCCGAAATCAATGGATTAATGGAAAGTGATTTTTTGCAGAACTGGAATGCATTAAGAGAGCCTTTGTTTGTTAGTTTTAACCTCATCAGATAAAACTGATGCAACATCGAGGAGTTTGCATTTGCACCTGCAATAGAAAGAATCTGAATATGAAAAGCTTCATGTAGATGTAGATTATGGGATTTAAAGGACCAGCGGGTAGGATTTAGTGATATCAAGTATTGAAATTACAGATTGCGACCAAGTAAATACTGCTCGCCTTGTATGAGAAGCTACACTGGCAGCCAAACATAAAACAGGCCCTATCTGGGCTACTGCAGAAACATGGCAGGTTTAACATGGTGGAGAAGAGGACCCTTCTAAGGTAACAACAGTTCTTATTTTTAGATGATAATACACTAATGAAAACATACTTTAGAATATTATATTCAATTCCTGCAAGTAGATCCTCTTAAATGTTACACACTGGCCCTTTCAATTAATTAACTCTGAATCATCAAAGCACAAACACAATATAAATTCATTATTCATTATACATATGAATTTAAGTATTGAACATGTGCGTCACCAATAAAGCATATTTGCAAGACGTTAACTAAACTCAGTGGTATGTTTGTGCATGTACCATAGATAATGTGGACACACACGCGGAGCTAAGCATGCACACAAAACGTGCAGCAAAAAAAAAAGCACAGGCCGCATGATCAAATCCTGAATGTCCATGTGCGCAAGACAGGCGCTGTGCTCGCAGAAGTGTTTCACCCGCTTGCTGTACCATGCGGTAATGAAGTGCTTCCTTATAGGAAGTCAGCCAGTCATTAAATAAAGAATAGGCCACCTGAGATCAATCGAAAAGTCGAAAGGAGAGTGGCTGTTTGTATCCGTAGAGTCAACAAAAGGCAGTGATGGAGATGCAGGGAGGGAGAGCATCAAATCAGTGTCATATCAGATTTCTGGAAGGAGGCAAAAAGGAGAATTTAATTTTTTCCCCCTCATTTTGCACATCTCTGCTGTATCTCTCCAAACAGCTTGTACTAACAAATTATACTCCCAGACATGCTCGCACACATTGTGAGTGCATTTACCCTAACTGTGACATCCCTCTGCCATCTTCATCCTCACTCTCATCCTCTTTCTCCTTTCCATTTTCCGCTGCAATCACAGTAGTCTCAACCACCCACATGCTGTAAACTGCAATTAAGGACTTGAATAGGTGGGGATGTGTCACTTGAGCTGAACACAGACGAACAATGTAGAGTTAATCCACTGTAATTTGCTCGTCCACTGTAGTTTTGCAGAAACGTTAGAGTTTAGGCTTCCACAGCACGCTACCTGCTGCACGGTTTAAAAGCACCACTCATTCACTCATTTGTCAGTGTCTGGTATCATGCCAGTTAGATCCACAACTGCAAGTGCAGAAATGTAAAATGTTATAGCAGGAACATCAACATTTAATTCACAAAACAGTTTCGAATATTGTTGCCTCTGGCCCTTCTGAGGACTCACTCTGTTGTTGCATCGACTTGAGGCTGGAGGCCAGATGTTCATGAGCCAAAAGGAACAGAATTGATTGAATGCCGTCAATATATATTAACATTTTTCTTTGTTCTGTGGGGAGCAGCAGGTTTCATTCCATTAACATCGCCATTGTTCTTGCTCATTGTGCGTGGGCGCAGAGAATACATTACATTGCATAAAACAAAAATACACCTGGAAATGTCTCGGTGATTTCTTGCTAAAGACTCACTTCAATTTACTGCATGTTTATTTCTTTCTTGGCAATAAAGAGCTTTCTTTAGGTATGGTTTAAGAGATTTTTATAAAAAAGCTTTTTATTCTCTTAAAGCAGCAGCTTGGTGCGTTTGTATCTGTATGTAATCTTTGTACAATTACAGTTCTTCTCTGCATCGTGCTTGTTTAAAATTGCGACTTTAAGAATGTGAACATGCAAATGAATGCAAAGAATAAATGCTATCGGTGCTGTGCTGTCATTGAGGTGGACAGACATAATCAATGTTTAAAGGAATACAGAGGAAGAGGAAGAGGAAAATCTAACAAAATAATATTCAATTTGAGGGTTTTAAATAAATGAAAATGTTCAACTCTTACAAATATATTTTCATAAAGCAAGTTAGAGGTTGTATCGCATGTTTCAGAAGAGTGAAAACCACAACGAATCATTTTCCTGCTGATTTAAATTTATGTTTTTAATCTGACTGCCATATTAAACAGTTACATTAAATTTAAATTTGGGGTAGCTCACCTGCACGAGTCCTTACCGTAGTGGCCCTCTGCTGCATGTCATCCCCTCTCTCTCTCCTCTTTCCTGACTCTCTTCAGCTGCTCTAATGAGGGAAAAAAAAAAAAAACAAGTTAAATTTATTGTTCTAAAAATAGTTCCCCTTGGCTTTCAAAAGGTATCCTGACAAAATTAATAGATTGATGTGTTTACTAATGGTGGTGCATGCTGTTCATTTTTTGCCAAAAAAAATACATTTTTAGTAAATGCCGTTGATTTTGTTTATGTCATTGTATGGAATGAAATATCTTTGCTCTAAAAAACAAGTTGATCAGTGTCCCCATTTCACAAGCATTACACAAAATAAATATTGAGGAGGGAAATATGTTTGAGGTTGAAAAGGTTGCTTTAAAAATAATCAATTATCTTAAAAATGTTATCAAAGGGTTACATTGTTTCAGCATTGCAATGACTGCATATCGTTGTAACCGAGTCTTGGAGCATTTACAACAAAGTGTCCCAACACCAAACCCATGTTCCAATGTTCAGTGTATAATTTATTGCTCATCCTGGTTCCCAGCATCCCCTGATGCTAATAATCAAGAATGACTGCTGATGAATTGATGTTGAGCCTTTTTGTGCTGGATTTCATTCTTGACGTCAGGCCCATTACTCTTCCAATTTGGCCTGGCATGGCTCTTTTTCACAGATAACAAATATGGTCATTTCCTTGCTAATTCAACCAGGCCCCAGATTTAGCAATTCAGTGGACTGCCATAAGGCAGTAAAGCATTCAGTGACGTTGGTGCGAACAAGCAATGATGAGAAATGGCACACAGGTGCTGCTCTCACCCCTGAATCTTTTCCTTCATTATAGTGCCTCACCACGACCACGCTTTCTCCTTCATTATGTTTCAAACAGCTCTCTTTTACAAAACTAATGAATTACAAAAAACTTGCTTGCTCACTTAACATGACTTTGATGAGAAAGAAAATGCCTCAAAGAAAGAATTACTCACCTGTATTAAGTTCTTGGTAAACCTGCAAGTGATCAGCAGTGAATATTTCTCTCAACAAAATAACCCATCGACTCATTGTGAACATACCCATATCACTGATATGAAATTATATAATAGTGCTGACAGGCCATGACTCAATAACTCCAGAAGGGATATTAATGAGGGGGGTTATTTCTTGTATAATTGATTAAACATTTTCAGGTCTGTTAGGCTTGAGAAAAATGATGGTCACCCTGAACATTAACCATGGATTTCCAATATGAGTAATGGCACGACTCTCTCGTCTGCAGCAGCGAGGACTTCACATGCCATTAATAAACGAAAACCATCACTGTCACACGTAATGCTGTGGTAACATTTAGATCTCAGTGGCTCACATCATGTTTTCTTTTTTTTTGTCTCTGCATCACAGCAAGACCATTTGACATAAGGGGATTTGGTGTCATTAGAGCAACTGCAATCAGGTGTATTGCCATCCCACAAGGGCCCAATTGTCCTGAAAATAGTCATAAGCAGCACTACATACTGGGAGAAAATAACATTACTTGAGATCCTCATCTGCTGCTGTAGCAACAAATCTATTACAGGTGTAGTACTGAGCCAAACAAGGCCAGTTGTGGTAGATAATGACAGGAAGGGTCGCCCTTGTGATTAGAGCCCTATATTGTACACATCATACAGGACACTGCAGTGCTTAAACAAGACAGTCAGTATCATCTTAGGTGTTTTTTTCCCTCCCTGCAGTCCTTCTCTTTTAATGACATCATCATCATGAGTAGCTCCTGGTCATGAGTCTGACTCTCAGTGTAAAATCCAAACTAATAAACTGTGACGGTAACTCTCACCACTTTATCATGATGGATGATATTACTCTGATAGAAGTGACTATAATACAGCAGAATTCAGCGATACAATATAGATAAAGGCTATATGACTGACTAATTAGTAGTATTTTTCTAACTTTAACAGATTTTTTCAGCCATTATAACCACAGGGTAAATCGTTCTTTGAGGATTTGAAATTTGGTTATCTTGAGGCACATAGACACCAGTAATTTGCTTGGACAACATATTCTCACAAAAGGAGTCAGAAGAGATAAAGTGACAAGATTAGTTGTCAGTGTAGAGAGTCATTCAGTTGGTCACCAAAGCACAAAACAATTAATCTTATGTCATCTTATCTCATGTTTTGCGTTGTCATCAAAAGTGCAACCACCTCCACAAAGTAATGCCTCCGCTCCACCACTTATACAATACTTTGCATGATTCACAGTGCAATCCTTATGTATCTTATACTGGCCCTTTACAGAGTGCTGCAGGGATGATGTATTTTTGTTGGCCAGCTTGAAGTAAAGTTAGCATGGCCATGGTTTCTTTGGATTATTGCAGAAAAAAATAAGGTTGATGACACTTAGACTTTTTGTTTAGCAAGATATTCTTCACAAATGAACACCACTTTTATGATTTTTGAAGCTGAAATGTGATTGCCAGAAGCAAAAAGCTAACGTTAGGCTATAAACGAACTACACCACAGTTGCACAACTTCATTATCACCACCACTAAAATTCCAACTACTTTGAGATATAGGCTACTGAACAACCTCCACAAACAAAGCAGTCAAATGACTAGACATACTTAGCAGGTGGATGGACACTTCATTGTACCTTGTGGCCGTGCTGTGCCGATGACCATATAAATAATAATCTGCGACGAGCCAATGTCTGCTTGTCGCAAAAATAGAAAAAAACTATTGGAAGACTATTATTCAGAGCAGTCTGAAGCCTGAGCTTTTTGCTCACTGGGATTCATTTTATATGCTTACCTCATTATTTGCAACTTTGGCCACGTTTAATATGAACATACATTGTAAAGTATATGACAGAGAATAAGGGAAAGCATAATAGGTCTCCCCTTTAACTAAAATTCAATGGTTTGTGGGCAAAATATTTAGAGGAATATACTGTACAAATAAGTTTGTGTTGCCTTTGTGTCTGACACTTTAGAAACTGGTTGTTATCTAATCAAGCCAAGGATATAAACTGATCCAATTGTTCTTGTAGCTTTTGCAAATGTAAAATTGCCCATACCAGCAAAATTTGAATATTACAATTTCACGTTGATTTGCCATCAAAATGGTAATAGCCCTTTAGGCTAAATTTAAACTGGAAAGGTTTAAAAGTGAAGGAGGTCATAAACTGCAGATTTGTCTTATGAAATTTTCTTTACTTGCTTTTTTGACACTGTTTTAAATTGGTATATTGTACTTTATGGGTTGTTTGGGGAAAAAAACAGATTTTTCAAATTTGAGGCACACTGAACAGATATACAGTATAGTATGTGTTTTTACAAATTAGTTTTTTAATATTTTAAATCAGGGTGGTGACATGTAACTGCTATATTCCGGCTTCAAATCCAGCCAGGGGACCTCTGTTGCATTTAATTTCCCTCTGTCTATTCCGACATTTCCTGCTGCCACTCAAATGTCCGAAGTCCGTTTTAATAGAGTTGTCATAATGCTCTAACCTATTCAACTACATTTACTGTTTTTAGCCACGTTAGCGACTATGGATTGTCATTAAATGTTATACAGACATTCATGGTCCCCAGATGATGTCTCCTGCTAACTCTCCCCTGGCTTTTTATCTAATGAGAAAAAATATCACTGGTTGGGCAGCCATGTACTTTGGTACACACATTAGTTAGGATAAATTGTAATAGCTTTGTTTACCTTTTCATTTAGCATCATCAGGTCAGATATTTAATTTATTCAGTATTTTATGGTTTATGACCTCATACATGCAAAACTAATTTCATTCCCATCAGCCCCAGCTGTATTTGGTGTTTAGTGCTAATTAACAAATGTTAGCATGCTGAAATGATGAAACTAATATGCTGACAATGATAAACATTGTACCTGCTTAACATT